CCGGTTTTAAGTCTATTGGGTCGCGTCAGAGGGCCTTGCCTGGCAAATTGCCTTTCCAAAGTCACTAATTTGAATAGGTTTAAAGGAAATCGCCTAGATAATAGTAGCGGCCTTCATGTATTTTTTCAGTATTGTAGAATATTGTAATATTTCTGCACCGGTAAAAGAAAATATTTAAATTCGCCTGAAGCTTCAGAAAATACGAAGGTATTGCCATAGTTTCTGGCCTAAATTATGTAAAGCGTCTCCAATTTATATGTATCAAGTAGTTTAAGCTCCAGTTTAGGCTATTGAATGCGACACAATATACAGGACTTATGGTATGAAATTGTAGGTTTCCAGGATTCGGTAGCTGCCGTAGATTTTTACTTTTTGTACATATCATTGGTTCTAGTTCTATTTATTGTTCTAGAATGCTGTTTTGAATGAGTGTACGAAGAGTGTGCTGAGTTAAATGTGTTAGGTGAAAATGTAAATCATTGAAGACAATTACATTTTAAAGCTAGAGTAATATACATTTTGACTTTAACTTACTGCTTCATAATTTGAAACTGGCTGCAGTTTTCAGTTTTTTAATTCACGTAAAAAATTTTAAAAAAACCTGGAGAAACTTAATACAAAATTCAAAATTAAATTTCCATACTAATCTGCTTCCAAAATTGTTGATAATAATAGCATTTATATTAGGTTCACATGTTCTAAAAGTAAATTTTATCATCACTGCTTTGATTATTTTATTGGAGAATAAATATTTATGCGTGCAATAATGCTGCACTAAGAAAAACTGATTTACTATTTACCATGAAAATTTATGATTGAAATTGGAGTTGTAGACACAAACAATCCTTTTTTAGCCATAAACTTCTCAACATTATCCTTACTTTTATTATCTGTTACCATTTATCATGATTTTATTTACAATATTTTATTATATCATACTTTATAAATGTGCGATTTTGTCGGAAAATAGGTTTTTATCGTTTTTTTCTAATCACGTTTAATGTTCCTTAATTGTATGGAAATGAGTAGTTTACAAACAGCAAAATATCTCCTATGCACACTATTAAATATCTACAGTTAATTAGAGTGGAACAAGTAATTAGTGCATTAGAAGTTAGTTCAGAGAGTCGAATTACGAAAAATTAATTTATTTTTCTTTAGTTGTTCAATGGCTTAAGAAATAAAGTAATATCAAAGCAGATAAAGGAGAGCAAGAGGTCACTTTTAACTGCTGATTGGTTTTCTTCACTTGGTTTTCTGCTGATTTTATACTACATTTCGTCATTCTGTGCTTGCTGACTCATGCTCCATAGATTTTCATAAACGCTATTTTATTTGGTTGGCCTGGTTGTCAAATATCACTTTTATAAAAAAAAGTTCGACTTTTTAAAGTTAAAACTTTATTTAACCAGAAAGCTGTTCTCTGATTCATTAAGACATTTCCATATAAGTTGCTTCAAAAATCTTTCTTTTTCGTTGATATTCCTTTGTTACAAAATTTGCGTCGACCCTCTGGAAGTTTCGTGAGAACAGAAAAAACAGAAAACAAATTAATGTCAACAACCGTATTTTTAAATTAAATTGTTACAATAGTTAGATATTTCATAGAGTTTCTAAATTATTTCCTGAGAATGAAATTTGCTGGTACGCGATGGATATTGAAATCAAATATCCAAAAAATGAAATTTTGACTTTTACGTTTTCTCCAAAAGCCACGATATATTTTTTAATAGATCATTTGTCACGCCGAGTTACATCTCGTATTGCTGCACTTAAAAAAACGAAATTACCCTCTTTGTTTGTTTCTTACCCTTTAATTTCAAATGAAAGACTGCGAATTTGGTAAAAACACGAATTCACGTACTTACATGAAGGTAGAACAAAATTTTGCTACGAATTCTTTTTCTTGACGCAAATCAAAAATAGACCTTAAACCAAGCAACCTTAAAACCCCTGTTTGTTATTCGTTTGCTACTCGACACAAAACTATAGTATTTTATTTATAAGTATTATTATTTGCAAGTTTCCCGTAATTTTCGCAGATCACTGAAGACTCTTACAGTTGAGAAAATGGCTCTATCTGATCAGCAATTTTTTAAACCAATTCTTCTTCTGTAGTCGCTCTAGTTTCGACTATTGCATTTTTGAATAATTTTTATCAATAAAAGTCCCGGAATTAGAAGTCCAGATATTAAAAGACGGTTATGAATATATTATTCAGTGTGGAGTTCTTTTTGAATGCCTCTTAAAAATAAATGTAGCGTCTTAATTTGCATTTTTAGTGTTAAATTGTAATTTTTTTATGCTTACGTATAAAATAATTCATCAAAAGTCACGTAAACGTATTTATTACGGTTGAATTGTTTAAAATCATCCTGGATATAACTTTTTAACAATTTCCTAAACACGTTCAATTGTTCAGTGAATACTTGTTGCATTTAAGCTCGGTTTCGCTAATGGTTGTTTCAGAATGTGAAACCCGTAGGTAAAGCGACTAAACTGAAATCTAAATATAAATTCTAACTCTAATCTAAATTATAACAAGCCAGCTTCTCAGCTTCTATTTGTATTCTCTCGAAAATCTATAATTAGAAATAGAGCTATCTGTATTTAAAACGCGTTGAAACATTAGTGAATTGTATAAAACTGTGTTGCCAATTAAAAGATCCAAAATGGATTCAAAACTTTGATTTTCTGGTATCAATAAAAAATCCATCAAATCAAAATCGCGAACTGCCAACGTAATATTTTAAAGCTGCCGAAAATTTCATAGCTTCGTGATCTGCATTCTAAAGTGCTTTAATTTTTGTAGAAAAAATAATGCTCAGCATCGTGGAGCAAGACAATCTGTGCGAGAGGGAGTGGCGTTGCTAACAAATAGTCGACGCGTCCTGGTGCAGCTCTCGATTACCACAAACCTCCAAAGGAGCGTTCAGTTTCAGCGCGCAAATCGTCCAGTTTAGTTGGATTTTTCAAATTACCGCTGATTCAATGCTGGATTTCGTGCGAGAAATACTCAGCAACATATCGAACTCATTTTAGTGCTTTTATGAGCTGTTGTGAGACGGAGGTTTCAGTCTTGACTCCTGTGCCAATTTTGCGTAGGATATGGGAGTTTCATGGAAAGAATGCGTTTTTGTAGTATTTAGTACTCTGTTACATGGTGAGTGCTCTTGAAAGTTATTTTTCTTGAGGGTAATTTGAATTGGAGCAATAAATAAACAAGGCTCAATGCGTGCCCTATGAGGAATCATCTAAGATGCATTTCATGACAATTGATACTTTTTACTACTAGTTAAGCTTAAATTCACGGAAAACTGACAATAAAGTTTCAAAATATTAAATAACGGATCGCATAATTTACCAGTGTATGACACACATTTTTTGAATACCGCCTACATATGATTTTGCAACGTGTTTTAATGTTATTCGTTATTTAGGATAATTGATAACTTCTTTCCTCGAAGTGTTCCAGCCCACTGGCTCTTTTTCTTTAATTCTTAAACCGCATTGATATTTATCGATGAACATTTGTATAGTTATTATTAGGGGCAGTTAAAAAGCTTCTTTACTCCTGAGTTAATGAATTGGATGATTAGTTAATTGGATTTTGACGCTGACAATGAGCTAGAACAAAACTATGATGTTTTAATGCTGGTGAAAAATGTATTTATACATATGAGTGCAAATATTAACGCATGGCAACTGACTGGAAAGCAAGAAACGCTTTACGCAACTTAGATACCTTGTTTACTATGAGGACTACAATATGCATAGTACATTTAATACCATTTAGTGTGTTTTATTCTGTTATAACAAATGTTATTTTACAGGAGCTAAAACTTATACCTAATTTAACATTTAAATAATTTGCGCAAGATCTCGGTTCTAGTACGTCGCAAATATGTATTTGTTAATTTTTTATGTATTTTGATATTGAATTCAGTGTTTACTTAAGTCAGAGTTACTTAAGTTACTAAGTGTGGAACCCCAGCATCTCAAGATCGTCCACTATCTGCGTCAATTCCTGTAGCTAATCGTCAAGTGTCTCAAGCCCTTTGCAATTCTTACAGCTTCTGCTATGTTACAATTAATCAGATATTTGCAAATTAATTGTTGGTGTAAATTTTGTGAAAACGGCTTCAAAATAAGTAACAGTTTGACAAAGGCTATCTACTTGTAACTATTTGTTAATGACAAAAAATATCATTGACGCTTTGACTTTTCATCAAAAAATTGTAGAAAATAACTTTTTAAATTGAAAAATGTTCGTTATTTGAAGCAAAAATCGTAATTTTTCGTTTCGAACGGTTAAGTATTCCAATAGGCCATCAATCATTTGATGGAATCATTTCAAAATAGTACATCATAACAAAATTGAAATTCGATATTCAATTGTTAATATCTTCTGGACATTCCCGAATTTTTTTTTCAATTGTCTTCTCATACTCTCCCCCCTGTAGCCCCTTAAAAGGATAGACACCAATTTTGCAAAACCATGTATAATAAAATTGGAACACTTGGAACTAATCAAGCTTCGTAGCTAACACATACAAATTTACTATTTCTGCCTTTAACTATTAAGTAATTAAATGTATTTAAAAAATCGGAAATCGGTTTTTTTGATACCGAATTTCCGTGTGATTGTCTTCATTATTATTTATCAGACATCCCAGGTACTTGACCTGTGTAACCTGTTCCAGTCTCACACCCCCGACCGTCACAGTAGCCGTTGTATCATGCTGTTTACTTATTAGCAGAATCTTGGTTTCCTTTATATTAAGATCCAGTTCCGCTACTGCACATTCGGCAGTGACCCTATCGGGCTGTAATCTGTGACTCTATCTAACTGTAAATCCTCTCGATTCGAGGCCAGAAGTGCCGTTTCATCCGTATAACCCACATTGTTTATGACTTTGCCATTCTATAATGACCTAACACCTCTCTTGATGTTGATTGATTCTAAGTTTGTATTATCTATTCTTACTACTGCTGTTTGATTCTAGTATAAATCTGCGATTATGCGAACATCTCTCCCATCCAATCCAATACCTTTTAAGACCTCGATAAGCATATCACGCTTGACTCGATCAAACGCCTTCCGAAAATCTATGAAACAAGCCCACAAGTCAACCGACATATCTTCGACATTTCTGAGTAAGCACGCTCAGCCCAAACAAAATCAGCAAAAGTTTTAAATTTTTAATTAATTATCAAATTCAAAATAAGCTTTCAATAAACTGCTAGGCGTTGATGATGAATTTAAGTGAACTTATTTCTTTGAACCTCATTTGAATAAAGAATTGGTTTTAGTACTTTCATGTAGCAGTTTTCTCTTATAGTGTCTTTTATGAGTTTGTTGGCATAGTTTCTACTGTCCTGTCTAATTTCCTAATTCACTTCCTTCTTTAGAGACTTCAAACTATCTGTTGTTCGACCTGTCCTTTCTCGTCTCTCTCTGAGAAGTTTGACGGTTTTATTTATTTTTGTTTGTGAGCACACTTTTTTAACTGTTGTGTTTATGGTTTCTTTTATTTTTATGGCTCGTTTGTTTATTTGCGTTTGCTTAATTGTCTCTATTGGTGTTAGTCTTGTTTTCAATTCATTTTGGTATTCGATTTGTTTTTGTGTCTACAGTTTCCAATATTGGATAGCGTTCTGGTTTGATGAGTTTGTTGCGTTCTGTTTTCAGGTTTATCTTTATCCTTGCGCGCCCTAATCTGTGGTCGCTTCCGGTATCAAATTTATGTGTTGTTGGAGGAACTGGAGATAATGCAGTTTATTTCATTTTTCGTTCACCCGTCCGGGCTTTTCTAGGTCCATTTACTGTGTTTGGGTTTTTCGAAAAAGTATTGAGGTAAAATAGATTTTCGTTGTTCAAGTAGCTACACGGCATCTCCCCCTCTCGTTTCTGTCACCAAGCCGGAAGTGGACAATATAATGTGTGTATCCGTCTTCTTTTGTTCCGAATTATTACGAATTGTGTTTGTTCTTTTATTAATACATTTTTTAATAATTTTTTTTATGTATTTATTTATTATGTAACTCAAATTGGATCTCTCAATAAAAGAAATATTTTTGCTCAAATTTTCAATGAAGCAAAACTTTTCAAGCATGAAACAGTATTTATTTAGGCAAGTTACAAACTATTTTAAACCGATTTTTAGACTCCGCAAAGGCTTCTGCTCCTAAACAGAATTTTTCCTGGTCATCGTAAAACTGGTTAAGCATCCATTAAAATTAAAGGAAAATTTTGTTTTCACTTCCGTAACCTTTATCTCGGAAGCTATCAACTTTCAGATAAGGCAAATTTATCAGAAACGCAGTATTTGGGTCTAAGCAAATTGTCAGTGAATTTTGACCTATTAGTTGACGACCACCCTTCCTGAATAGAGAAGTTGAAAATTGAATAATTATTTACTCCTGAAGCCAACTTTAGCATAGTTTCATCTTTGCCCATTCCAATCAAAAGAGCACTGCCCTTATAAGTTGCTGACTGAATGTGTTTGGACCTTCTGCATTCCAGATCCCTAATCCATTATCTTAAACGGAATTACACGGGGCATTAATAAAAAACCATCGACGTCCCTTAACATGGAAAAAGGGCCGAGGCAAGTGGATCTCTGTGGCTCCTAATCACTGCGGTCATTGTGAGCCCAGACCGACCGCCCTAAATTGCCTTGAATATAAATCGAGAAGGTAGCTGGAACGAGTCTCGTTAACTAACCGATCTTTGAAATAATGGCCTGGAAAATAATTCCCGAGTGCTCTACTTGAGATAACGGCTGGACTTGGGATGTATACTAGGTGGCAAATGGGTGTCGGTTAACCAGAGGTCACCACAAATTTATGACTGTGCTTTGTTGAGAGCGGAGAAATTCCAGATAGCTATATTTACATGTCAATGATATAAAGATACTTCACTTTAGGTTCAACTCGCGGTTGTCCCCAATCTAATGTTATCAAAGCAAATTAGGCTCTTTATATGGAGGTAATGATAATAATATACTATGTCAATGTGCTCAGACAGCAGTGTTGATGCCCCTAATCAGTAGCCTCAAGTCTCACGACTGACGGTTGTTTTTAGTTAGTAAACGGATTTTGACTCCGGACGCCTTCGAATTTGACTTCGAGTAAATTAATCAGTGTACAAGTTTTTTATTCGGAAATGAATTTCACTAATAGCGTTAGACAAACGGAAGCTGTAAAAGCTAAACTCACACATTAAAAAGAGCCCGAAATGACCCTAATATGAATTACTGAAAACTAACTATTTGAAAAAAATATCCGGCTGCAATCACGTGGCTCCGACTCTCCTTTTTGAATCAAATCAAACACACGCCATCGATCGGAGTGTACAAAGAAGAGTATTCATATTCTCTCAATTATTCGTGCAAACAATCTTTGTATAATTAATATACAAACTCGCAAATTCCTCACAGCTACGTTGTGGTCAATAAGTCGGTTTTGAACTAACCTAATTTTTATGTGCTTCAGACCCCGGCCTCTCGAAGAATCTCTTGTGAGAAGAAAGGAAAATTGTTCGATGCGACAGAACGATTTGGTTGTAAATCGGATTCGGGACACACCGGTAACTATTCTGCAGTGCGATCTTTAGTTCCAATCGATGAACAACGCGGATAAAAATACACTTCTAGTGGCTATTGCGATTTGTAAACTTTATAACCGAAAATAAACGAGAAAAAATGGTAAAAAACGTAGATGATGGTACGGAAACTAGTCATTGAAAAGGCATATATGTAGTCATGTTAATTTATTAGAAGAAGTGATATCGTACCCACACGATTAGAGAAAGTACCTCCGAATAGAGAAAGCTGGGTATTTGGAATTGTTGCTTTACTTTAATTTCCTCTTCCTCATCATACATACTGTCCTTAGATGGCCTTGGCAAATCTGAATCGCCGAAGCAAGATAACAACTGAAAATACTTATATACTTAAATACCATAACTTAAACTTATAGATGTCTTCCAAACCATCATCAGACTCTCGAGTTTTGAACTAATTTTAATTCTCTTATCTTATACGATGTTCTAAAATTATTAATTTTCTTTCTTGCAAGAACTTAATTAACATCTTCTTTCACCTCTTGAAACTTGGCAACCCAAATATCCATTGCATTCTTTCTTGCAGTTCTACCATT